GGAGCGCGGAGCGGGGAGCGGGGAGGAGCGAGGCGGGGCGAGGATCGAGGAGCTAGGAGCGAGGAGAGAGCGGAGGAGTAGGAGGAGCGAGGAGCGGGGAGCGAGGAGGGTGGAGGAGGAGTGAGGAGCGAGGAGCGAGGAGCGAGGAGCGAGGAGCGAGGAGCGAGGAGCGAGGATGAGCGAGCAGGGGTCGAGGAGGAGGTGGAGGAGGAGGAGGAGGAGGAGGATGAGGAGGAGGAGGAGGAGGAGGAGGAGGAGGAGGAAGAGGAGCAGGAGCAGGAGCAGGAGCAGGAGGAGGAGGAGGAGGAGGAGGAGGAGGAGGAGGAGGAGGAGCAGCGTAGACATCGCGTCTCGAGGCGAGGTCAGGGCGTGCCCAGGGTTCCGAGCAGCGCCCCCCCGCCGCTCCCGTGTCCCTCGCTGTGGTCCTGCGGCCCTTCAGCTTTCTCGGGGGCGGTGAAGAGGGGAGTGATGACCAGGGCGGGGTGGATATAATGGGTGGGCCATGATATCTCCCGTGCTTCTTTTCATTTCACTGTGTCGACCCTGGAAATTCGCGTGGACCTCTGACAGGTCAGGCTTATGTTTTTTTGCTTCTCTGTCTGTCTGTCTGTCTGTCTGTCTGTCTGTCTGTCTGTCTGTCTGTCTGTCTGTCTGTCTGTCTGTCTGTCTGTCTGTCTGTCTCTCTCTCTCTCGCTCTCTCTCTCTCTCTCTCTCTTTTTCTCCATCTCCCGGTGTCTCTGTCCGTCTGTCCGTCTCTCTGTCCGTCTTTATTTCCCTCGCCCGACGCCCCCTCGCAGCAGGCTGACGCCCGGCGATGGCCGTGGGCTCGGTCGCCGATCGCGCGCATGCTCCCCCTCCTCCCTCCTCCCTCCTCGCTCCGTCCTCCTCGCTCCTCGCTCCTCGCTCCGCCCTCCTTCCTTCTCCCTCCTCGCTTCTTTTGCTCCTTTCCTCGCCTCCAGCTGCTGCTGCTCTCCTCCCCCGCTCCTTTCTCGTCGGCTGGCGAAGGGTAGAGAAGCAGGGACGGTTCGTGGAAGGACGGGTAATTAGGGAAGGGATGGGAGGGAATTAGAAGGGGAGGCGAAGGTGTGAGGAAAGGGGATCTGGGGGGTGTGGGGGACAAAACTGGAAAGGTGTTTGGGAGGGAGGGACAGCAGGTCTAGGGGGGGGGGTCAGGGGAGGAGAGAAAGGAGGAATATGGGGGCGGGCGGAAGGACTTGCAATTGACATCGCTTTAGACTGCGTTGTGCAGGGCTGGGCGCTTTTTGTCTCACCCTCTTCGTTTTTGGAGATAGGCCGACGAGCCGAGAGGAGCGGCTGCTTGCCACAGCAAGGGACGCAATCATGACCGTTCCTGCCGCTGCCACCTCGGACCTGCTTGCCGCACCGGCCGTGGCCCGTGAGCGTGTCTGCGGTCACCGTCTGCTGTTTGGCGCTACGATGTAGCCGGCAGCGCGCACTGGCCGTGATGGCTGCCACCGGCGGCATGCCCTCTCGAGCTGTGCGAGCAGAGGTGGTACCGGCAACGCAGCATTTAATTGTCTTGAGATTGCAGGATGGTTTCCCCCCATCCCCATTTCCATCCTGGCAGCGAAGATGGGCGAGGGGAGGAGCCAGGTGGGACTGGGAACTTGATTTTGATGGTCCGAGGAACCATCGACAGACACCCAGGTCACCCCCAGGGGCGCGTCGTGGGGTCGGCCAGAGAGCTGCCATTATCCACGGCGGCCTCGCGAGGGATCGGAGATGGCCGTGCGTCGCGCACTGGGGGGTGGCGATGCGCGAAGTTAGGCGACACAGGACACTGGGGAAACTTGCCCGCTAAGGAGATTCGAGTAGGAGATCGACTTCAGAACGTATGTACCCCCCAAGTGGTTCCTGCGGAAGAGCGGCTTCTGTTCGCTGACAAGGGGTGGTGGGATGGGTTCGCCGTCACTGCCTAAAATGGCAAGTTTCCTGCCGCGCTGCATCCAGAGGGCGCTCGCTGGTATACTTCGGACATGCGCCAAGAAACTGCTACGTAGTTGCAGAGCCCTTTGGCTCGGGCCGCGCGAGGCGCTCGAGCCGCTTCCGTTGGCGAGGGTCCGGGCGCGTGTCGCGCGCCGACGCCCGACTCTCTGCTGCACTCCTGCCCGAGGGCTCGCTCGCAGCGGGAAGGGCCCACTCGGCCCAGGCCCTGTCGTGCGCGGCCGAGCCCCTCCTCGCAGCGGGAGGGGCCGGCGCAGGCCAGTCTCCGTCGTGCGCGGGCCGAGCAGCGCCCTGGCGCCGCCCCGGAGGCCGAGTCTTCCCGGGGCGCGCTCGGTGGCGGCCCAGGCAAGGCAGGGGTCGTTTCGGTTCCTCCGATTCGATTCGATTCGATTTCGATGGCCTCCGACTGCGAATCGATGCGACTCCGGATTCCGATCCGGGCTCCGATTTCCTCAATGGGGAGTTACTAGCCTGCCGACGTCCGCCGATTCGACGTCTCCTGACTCGGCTGCCGATCTCCGCCGATCCGATTCAT